AGTTGCGATAAACTATGAAGGAGCGCTCACAGCCATCAGCGAGAAGTGTCGCGGGAGGCGGAATGCAACACATACACGCACCTGATTGGTAGCTCATTACCAATCAGATGCATTCATTTATGACTGTGATGATTCCTTCATATGACTCTCAGTCATTCCTCCCTCACGCCGTTGGCCTCCCTCACGCCGTTGGCTCCTCCTCCCTCACGCCGTTGGCCTCCCTCACGCCGTTGGCCAACGGCGTGAGGGAGGAATGACTGAGAGTCATATGAAGGAATCACCACAATGACGATGTCGATTCATGGTGAGATTCACATCTCAGGAATGCCTCTTAAACGGACCGAGCCAGAGACGCGCGTATCAAAAAGACATTTTGGAAGATTCCATACTTGCTCAAAAAGCGTTTCATGTCGTCTTCAGGCATTCCAAATGCGGAAAGCATATGCTTTGTGAACATGTTTTAGATTCACGTTTTGAATACATTTTTAAGTCTGATGATGCACAGCGCATACGGACAACACCTCTACCTTGCATCTTGACCTCAAAGGAGCGGTCACGGGGCACCGTCTGTCTCGGATCGAATATTCGTCGGTTGCCGCATGCGGAAATATTTTTTATTTCCCATCACCGTTTCTCGCAGATTACATCGACGCGTGGGGCAATACATCGAGGGTCGCTATGTACATATCGGCGCTCGATTTTGGCCATCAAAAATTGTTACCTTATCATGCAGTCTTGGTTCCCTTGAACGCGTTCCCAAGGGGCTCCTTTCTATTCACTGCTCTGCTGAACTATGCTCTCATAACTCCCATAGACCAATACAGATGTCAATGAAGGTGCCTGAAGTAGGGTTCTGACTGCAGGCTAAACAAGTACTCAATTTGGATTGTGTCCCCAGCTGCTTTTGACGTATAGATACTTTATTGCTCTTTGATTATTTTCAAATGTAGCATGAACTACACTGTACAGAACGTAGGTTTAGCAGAGACTCCTTGTTGAATTGTTTTGAGACAGTGCCTGAGTTTGACTGGCACGTCAAGCTCCACACTCATCTATCTGATTTCGCTTTGGAATGAAAGAAGCCCAGAGCACTTTCTAAGTCCGCCGAAAGGCCATGGCTTGTTGCCTTACTCTTCATTGAATATGATCTGGGCTTCTGGTAGCGTTCCATGCACCGGAATATGTCGTTTCTTACTTGACATGATCTCTGATGATGTATGCATACTAATTTTTTTTTTGCGTTGTGCGAAAATTAATTCTTGGTTCCTGTTCGTTAAAATTTGTAAGATCCGGAAGAAATGACATAGAGCTGGATCTTCGGCGGACTGTGGAAACTATACTGTATACTGCAACAAAAATTGCAAGGCTAGAGAACTCGAGAGCATCTCGCACCTGCAGTTTGTCAGGGCGGAAAATGCAAACAGATAATCTCTGCACACAACTGTTGTCGCAACAGAAAACGCAGAGAGCGCCAATCCCGTATGATAAATCGACTCTCCGTCGAGCCACGAACGATTTCATATCATATGTATTTTGTACGAGTGGAGACACGTTGCCACGTGTATTTTTTATCGATCTCTCGATCTCTCGACTTCTTGTTGGCGACCTGACACCCCTACCCCATGTACAAGGTGGTGTGTGTGGAGAGAACAGCTTCTGAAGTATCGCCGCGCGGTCTTGTGCCGGACAGTTATAGTAAACCACCATGGCCGACTTGGAGAATGAGGAAGTTATTGAAGGACCCAAGGTACGTTGCCTCCCTGTCTCCCACCATCGCAGTCAGCGTCTCATCGGCACGACAATGTATGCTCAGCAATCTCACGAATTGGACACGTCTATTGCATGTGGTTGATCGCAGGTTTCGTCGATGCTTGAGTTCGGTAGCACAGCTGAGCGTCCCAACAAGCGACACAATTACTGGTTTCGTGCCTTCGCGACAGACTCAGAGCCAGGTGAGGGTCTGATCTTTAAGGTGGCACGCAGGCCCGGCCATCGCCGCAATGAAGACCCACATCCGACTGTCCGCATAATTCGTGAGGATCCAAACGGAATTCTGTAAGTCAGAAGTATACGTATTTTCGCGATTGGATGCAAAGTCGTGTATGTTGATAACACAACTAACTCGTCCTGTCAATCTCTTCGTGTACGTTCGCTTTTGCAGATACGCTAAGGTCAAGGCTGGAGAAATCAAAGTAGAGAACTATCACGATTTTGTTAACAGGAAGATCTTGCAGGCTCGGGATGAAGAGGCTAAGAAGAAGGGGAAGAAATGACTACTGCTTCAAGTTATGGAGAGTTAAAAAAACTGTCCCTTGTGGAGGGAAAGGGTGCCATATGGTTCTTGTTGTTCAACGTCAATAAACCTTGAGTTGACAAGGCTTAGGACACTGAAGAATGCACGTGCCGCAGCTCCACGCGAGCATCCGTTGAGTACATTATGAAACTGCAGATTCGCGCAAGCAATGGTGTGTTATGACGACGTTAGCTGCAATGCTCGCTTGGGTTTGAAACATGGCAACAAGTGAGTTTTGCGACTCAAACGTACTGTGGTAATAAAAGTGGGGGACTCTTCCGAGCTTGCTACTGTGACTGGAGTCGGCATTCTCCTCAGCGTTTCCCACATTTTGAAAGCTCGAATATTCAATGCGAAGATCGGTCCACCCCGGGCGCTGTGAGAGTCCTCCGCTCTTTCCGTTTCCTCGACGAGTTCGAAGTCAGACATTTTGACGGGAAGTTTAGCGGCAGACAACCCGGAACCATCGCTCATGCCTTCCCTTTCACGAGAGCTATTGTTCGTAGAATTGTGCGGGTCTCTCGATTCTGTGCCTGTTATACCAATTTCAACGATGCATTGAATTAGTTAGTTTCGCCAGAATTCTTCCTGTCAGGCACACAGGGAATACCGAGGAGGTGTTGAAGAGTACTCACCTCTTCGAATTTCTCTATCTCTCTGCCGAGCTATGTCAAAAGCTTGATGATCAGAGGCTGTAATCTGAGTTTCAAAATAAGACAAGCACACAAGGAAGTATCAAACACGAAAGCCTCGTTAATTCGACCGTCATGCTTGAATCGAGAGTCTCGTTCGTGGTAGTTGGCGTCAGCTACACTTACTCTGTCGAGGAAATCGCGGTAATGGTCACTGCTGCCGTGCCCCGTAGCGGTAGTACCATGTTTGGAGTGACTCCCTCCTTGGGCACTGTTTGAAGGAAACGACAGCAAATCTGCAGACGGTGCCTTGGATGGATCTGAATTCGCCCTGTCGACATCCGCACTGCTGCTGTTCCTTCTACCAGGAACAACTCGTCCCACGTCCAGGACTGGCACCATCCCCTGCTCATCCTGAAGTGCAAACTCTACTGGTTCGGGATCATTCTGTGTCCTAAGGACATTTTCCGTGCGACTCCTCACAGTTGGTGGATTCCTACCATGCGTCGAAGGCTGTGCTCTGGTTTGTTCTTTGCCTCCCATCGCCATAAAAGGAGGAACAGTCATACTCTTCCATAGGTCAGTGATGTTATTGGAGAAAGAAGCAAGAATTCCTGGAACCTCGAAGGTCGCATGCTCCCTTAATCCTTTTGGACCCCTCTGTTTCTCCCGTCTACGCTCGTCAAAGCCCGTCAAAAGAATGTCAGTTGTATCATTTAGACAGTTTCTCACTTCAGAAGGCGACATCTCAGTGGTATCATCTAGTCGAAGTATCGCAGACCTTCTCTTACGACTGGAATTGGTGGCTTGAGGGCGAGAAAATTCTTTGTTGGTCTGGACCGGCCTGTTCGGTGTCTTGAAGTCAGAAGCTGTTCGGCGGGGTGATGATACGGCCAAAGAAATAAGTCTACTTGATTCCCGCGACTTCTTTTTCGCCGAAGTGACTAGGGCTTGATTTGTGGCTGGGATGTCAAGAGGTTCGATCTCCATTGGTTCAAGGTTCACTTCTCCGTGTGAAAATGGGGAAATGGTGGCATGGCCACCAGATGCCTGACTTCTGGATGGGGCGAGGGAAAGCGCATCGTTTTGTTGAACTTGGTCCCCGTTTCCTTGCACCCCGGTCATCCATAATGGGCGAGAGTCCCCAACGTTTGACATGGGATCAGAACGAATGCTTCCACGAAGGTCCTCATCAAACACATCGAATGCAAGTTGATCCAACCCTCTCATCGGTTGAGATAAGGTAATGTCTTGGTCTCGTGCACTGTAGAGCATTTTCCTTTGGTTTCCGAGATTATGGACACTCGTTGGACTACTGAGACCTGACGGGAGATTTTCACCGAGACGAGGGACGGCTACCATTGGAAAAACGTTTTGCATAGCCGTTAGAACATCAATTTCGACACTATCTCCAAAAGATGGGTCACTCAGCAGTAAAGATCCATTGCTGCGAAAATCACATGAGTAGGAGCCTGCAGATCTCGAAAGGGCAGCTCCTTGCTTTTTATGAGCACCCTTTCGAGAGGCTTTAACCCTTTTCCGTGCCGGAAGAGTAATGAGGTCAAAACGGGCCTTGTCGTTTCCCTCCTGAAGGTTGATGCCTGCTTCATGGCCTTCTGCTAAATGAGTTGTAACTCTACTGCGCTTTTTTCCTGACAGTTGAGTAGAATGTTGCGTGCTGTACCTCTTGACTGCATGCAAGACGGAGTTGGTGTCTGCGAGGATGATGGTTGATTTGCGAGAGAAGACGCGAACAACACCAAGCATTAACGCAGACGAGAGTCGAAGGGCAAAGGGAGCTGCTGGTTGCTCTATATTCTGGCAGAGGACGTGGATTTGAGCCGTAACCGCGAAGGACTTGGAAACCTTAGACTCCCCCAAGGTTGCGGCAATCCAAACTTTTCCGAGCGGCCCCTAAAATTGTCAAGAGCGCGTAAAAGGTTGGAAAAAAGTGCGTTGGAGGAAAAGTGGGACGGAAGATTAAGGCACAAGGCATGAATATGTGATTGACGAAGAGTGGAGAATTCTGTTTTGGACATTTTTGCCGAAAAGGAAACATACCTTTTTCGTGAGAACAAGATTGGAATAAAACATCGCCACCAGCCCGGGAACGAGTGGGAAAAGTGTTGACAAAGTTGGTTGTCAGAATGTATTGATGCAGTTGTTCTGGGGGATCAAGGCATGGAAGAGGATAAGAGTTTATAAGGCCCTGACGGGAACATCCCGATAAAAAGAGACCGGGCATCTTTTTCGCTCCCCGTTAAAACGCAAAGACTGAATGCGGCAAAGTGAAACGAAGGAGGGATAAGAGGATGTGCTAACGTGAAGCGAAAGCGAAAGCGAAAGAGAAAGAGAGTAGGAGCACAGGGGATCATGAAGCGAAAAGCCGGGAAAAAAGGAGATTTAAAATAGGATGCAAAAAATGTATAAACAAGAGGGGCAAAGTGTTTGCCCCTTGTAATTTTACCAAAAACAGCACGGCAGGACTCCTACCGCGAAGACAGGATAATTTGGACAATACGTATAACACCGGACCAAAGGGCGTAAGCGAGTGCAGCTGCGAGCGCTGCAGTGAGGACCTGCAAGGCGAGTCGCCATCGTCGGGAGAGTTCTCTCCGTTGAGGGTCCAGTTTGCCGGGAAAGGTATGTTGTTGGAAGCGCAACGAGAGTCGGATGGAGTCTGCGAGGGCGTCCATGCAACGGAAGATACGCACGGGCGTGGAGGGGAGCTGCGGACGATGGCGACGCGCCGGCGGACCGTAGATACGGCGCCAGTTGGCCGTGCGCTGCGCGTTGGTCGGGTGCTTGTGGCTGACGAGCGGACGGCCGTCGCACAAGTAATAGAATTCGCGGAAGCCGGCCGGGACTAGGGTTATTGTTGACCACATGTGTTCTGCGTGGGGGAGAAATGGAAAGGTTAGGGTGGGAGTTGTGCGTTGAAGTGGAAACGAAGGGGGTAGGGAGTACGTACTTTGCTCCAGGGACATTGGGATGGGGGGCCCAATTGTCCCAATCTCCGCAGAGG